TGGTAACTGGATGAATGAAATTCGTCGATTTTGTCCTGTCTTGCGCGCCGTGAAATTCCTTGGTAATCCTGAGGAAAGGGTGAGTAACAAATGCTTTGCCATTTCATGGTTGTATTTGTGTATGCTCGCTAGGATTCTGAAATATACGTTAAACAATGCAGAGATATATTCGTGATGAACTGCTAGTTGCGGGTAAATTCGACATTTGTGTCACAAGCTTTGAGATGGCTATCAAAGAGAAGACAGCCTTGCGTCGCTTTAGCTGGCGTTACATAATTATTGATGAAGCACATCGAATCAAGAATGAGAATTCACTTCTTTCAAAAACGATGAGACTTTTTAGTACCAATTACCGGCTTCTTATCACGGGAACCCCCCTACAGGTAGTTGTTCAATCTATATAGAATGATTTTTCCAACCTTTTTCATGATTATTTGAACATTGTCATTTTGATTGTAATTCTTTATACATGCTTCTTATCTCTTTTGTACTTTCTCTGTTTCAGATCTGTTTCAGACAATACTGTACTCATTTGATGTATTTATATTTGATTCTTATATACAGAATAATCTCCATGAATTGTGGGCTCTTCTCAATTTTCTTCTGCCCGAGGTTTTTAGTTCAGCAGAGACTTTTGATGAGTGGTTTCAGATTTCTGGTGAAAATGACCAGCAAGAAGTTGTTCAACAGCTTCATAAGGTATGTACTCGTGGTAATCGATTTTATTCTCGATGTTGTAATGCTAATCGCTTACTCTTATATTTTTAGGTTCTGCGACCATTTCTTCTTCGGAGGTTAAAATCAGATGTAGAGAAAGGCTTGCCTCCAAAAAAGGAGACGATCCTTAAGGTTGGCTTGACGCAGATGCAAAAACAGTACTACAAGGCGCTACTGCAGAAAGATCTCGAAGTGGTTAATGGTGGTGGAGAACGCAAACGTCTGTTGAACATAGCAATGCAATTGCGCAAATGCTGCAATCACCCTTATCTCTTTCAGGGTGCAGAGCCTGGCCCTCCCTATACCACAGGAGATCACCTTGTAACAAGTGCAGGTATGAATTGCATTCAAATTTTATACTGTAGCCAAATGTCGTAGTAATTTCTGCTGCCATTCTTGATTCCAGGTAAGATGATTCTCTTAGACAAATTGCTACCTAAGTTGAAGGAACGCGATTCAAGGGTTCTGATATTTTCTCAGGTAGGAATTAACACAACAAATAATTGTTCCTTGCTTTGTTTCCTTTTGTTTGAGTGATATTCTTCTTGTTTTCTTATTCTAATGATTTCGCTCATCTGTATCAGATGACAAGGCTTTTGGACATTCTAGAGGATTATATGATGTATCGTGGCTACCAGTATTGCCGTATTGATGGAAATACTGGTGGTGATGAACGAGACGCTTCCATAGAAGCCTACAACAAGCCAGGAAGTGAGAAATTTGTTTTCTTGTTATCCACTAGAGCTGGAGGGCTTGGCATCAATCTTGCTACTGCAGATATTGTGATCCTGTATGACAGTGACTGGTAAGCTTTTTCTTGTCTATTGCAGTGAAAGAGTATTTTCTTCTTGCTTAACGTGGTGGGCGGAATCTGGCAGGAATCCCCAAGTCGACTTGCAAGCTCAAGATCGTGCACATAGGATTGGTCAAAAGAAAGAAGTTCAAGTATTCCGGTTCTGCACAGAAGTGAGTCTTGTACACATGTGTATTACGTTTGAAAAGCATCCAAAACCTATTACTAATTGTGTTTTGACTCATTTATAGAATGCCATTGAGGAAAAAGTGATTGAGAGAGCTTACAAGAAGCTGGCACTTGATGCTCTAGTAATTCAGCAAGGGAGATTGGCAGAACAGAAAAGTAAGTATTCGTCTACTGAGGTTGTAAAATGCATCGGCGCTTCTTGTATGGATTTGCATTGTCTCTTATTATTTTGTTTCTTTTCTATACTTTTCAGCTGTTAATAAGGATGAGTTACTACAAATGGTTAGATATGGTGCTGAAATGGTGTTTAGTTCGAAAGATAGCACAATTACGGATGAGGATATTGACAGAATCATTGCCAAAGGAGAAGAGGCAACTGCTGAACTTGATGCGAAGATGAAGAAGTTCACTGAAGATGCAATACAGTTTAAAATGGATGACCGTAAGCATCTCATGTACCCTATGTGTTATTTTTAATGGTAACTCCCTTGCATGGCTAATGTAATTTGCGGTTTGTTACAGCTGCCGACCTTTATGATTTTGACGATGATAATAAGGTACTCTTGCATACTGTGCTTACGCACCTGCATTATTTTGAATCATCTTTTTACTAACCTCATATCGTTATTGTTTGGTAGGATGAGAACAAGTTGGATTTTAAGAAGATTGTGAGTGAGAATTGGAATGATCCACCAAAACGAGAAAGAAAGCGCAAGTAAATACTACTGCTTCTTTTTATTGTTACGTGATCTATTATGTCTTCCTCAACACCCAACCTCAAATACTTACTTTTATCTACCCACCTTTCAGCTACTCTGAAAATGAATACTTCAAGCAAACATTGCGACAAGGTGCTCCAGCTAAACCTAAAGAGCCTAAAATTCCACGCATGCCCCAATTGTAAGTACCATTTTTCTGGGTTTGATGTGTAGCCTTTTTCCTGGATGATATTTTTATCCTGTATATTTTATTTTATTTCCCTTTCCGCAGGCATGATTTCCAGTTCTTTAACACACAGAGATTGAACGAGCTATTTGAAAAGGAAGTACGACACCTTATGGTGGGGTTTTTATCTGAAAGATCTATCGACTTATCATGTCATTAATGCAATTTTTAGTTTTAAGGCGTTTTAGGGTGTAATATTCATTCGTTTTGATTTCAGCAAACGCATCAGAAAACTCAGATGAAAGACACAGTTGAAGTTGATGAACCTGAAGGTCAAGCTAGTTTTTTTTTTCCGTCTGTTTCCTCTATTCTTACATTACTTCACTGAACCTATTACTGATTAAGAGTTACTTTCTCAGAAGCTGGAGATCCCTTAACTGCTGAAGAAGTGGAAGAAAAGGAGCAATTGTTGGAAGAGGCAAGTGAATCCATTTGACTTTGCAGTTGGTTGGCATTTTTAATGATTTTGTACCAATATGTATGATTTTTTTCCTCAGGGTTTCCCAACATGGAGCAAAAGAGACTTCAATACCTTCATTAGATCTTGTGAAAAGTATGGCCGGAACGATATAACAAGTATTGCATCTGAGATGGAAGGAAAAACAGAAGAAGAGGTTGAACGATATGCTCAAGTTTTCAAAGAGCGATACAAGGAGCTGAATGGTAAGTCACTTAATATTCGTAAAATACGGTGGATATTTTGCGTGGCAGATGAATATTATGCTAAGTGAGATTTCCCTCTGACCTTGTAAACTTTGTAGATTACGATAGAATAATCAAGAATATTGAGAAAGGGGAAGGAAGAATCTCTAGGAAAGATGAAATCATGAAAGCTATTGGGAAGAAACTGGACCGCTACAGGAACCCGTGGCTGGAACTGAAGATTCAGTATGGTCAGAACAAAGGGAAGCTGTACAATGAAGAGTGTGACCGTTTCATGGTCTGATATCTGCTTATCCCTCTATATTTGTACTCTTGTGGGTTGAGATTTTGGATGACATTGACCCGTGGAATTTGTGATGAACAGGTATGCATGGTCCATAAGCTTGGGTATGGAAACTGGGATGAACTGAAGACTGCCTTTAAGACATCCCCGTTGTTTAGCTTTGACTGGTTTGTAAAATCCCGTTCAAGTCAGGAACTGGCCAGGAGATGCGACACACTGATCCGGCTGATTGAGAAAGAGAACCAAGAGTATGATGAGGCAGAGAGGCGAGCCCGTAGAGATAAGAAGCTTGCAAAGGTGAGGCTTTGAAGAAATATCTTAAAAGTTCACATTTCTCACACGCATGCTTTTATTGTTTTGTTAGTGGTGAGAAACGCCATGAAATTGTTTCTGATGATATTCTTATGTAAATTGTTTCAGAATGGAACACCTTCAAAGCGAGCTTCGGGTAGGGAAGGAACAGAGAGCCCTACATTCTTGAAGAAACGAAAGCAGCTGTCAATGGATGATTTTGTGAGCTCGGTAAGCAATACAGTAATATAGATCTGTTTATTTTGCTTGCTAACTGATGCAAATCAGACATTTTGGTTAGATAACACAAGTCATGTGTAGTTCTGTCCCTAACTCAAAAACTACCATTTTATCTGCAGGGAAAACGTAGGAAGTAAGGAGAGCCTAGATGAATTCATTCGGCTGCTATGCATTATTATGCATGTGACTATTTCTAGTTAGGTATGCTTACAAATCAGTGTATTGGTTTAGCTGTGACAAAGGCCAATCTAACATTTTGTTTTCACAACCCTCATTATTATGACTATTTTCGATTCTACTCTCTTTTCCTTTCATGGAATTACTATATGTCGTTACATTCCTAATTTCAGCAGTCGTAGTAGTTTTACTTAAACTTACATCTCAAATCTACTATTGTGTTCGGATTCGAACAGAACACAGAGTATTGGTCTCTTCTCTGGTTAGCACAAGGTAAGAACTTAGAAGTTGGCTTAGATGGTAAGACTGACTTTTTTTTTTCTTTTGGTAGACTCGAATCCATAGACAGAACACATGATACAGTAATAATAGTACAACATTAGAATCGACTCAAATCCTCCCTCCCATATTACATATACAACAACCCATTTGAAAAAGAAACCAAAACGACTTTGGAAAAAAAAACATTTTTCACCCCCTCCTAATTGCCCAAACTCTCATCATTAGCATCATGTTCTTGAGCTTCAACCACCATATTGAAGAGTCTCTCTTCTGACTCAGACATCAAATCCGACAACTGACAGACCCGACCAGACTCCACAAATGTTTCATAAGACCCCAAAAGCCTCTCCCCCTCTTGCCACAAAAGACAATTTATCTAACCTTTTCAAACATACAAAGCTCTTTTCAACATTTCCTTTCTTAGTCATTTGAACTATCAAAGCTGCCAGGTCCATTGGTAGCTCTTTTCCTCTCCCTCCAATTCTCTCCCCACACCTTTGCCTCCGCCACAGCTCTTTCTCTATCCAAATCCCTGTTCCTCGGAGTCCCTCTCGCTCTCCCAACACTCGCTGGACTCCCTCTCTGTGACTCTGTCCCTTCCACATCGCTTAAACCCCATTTCCTCCCTGACCCTCCTCCATTCTCGCTCCCTGCCTCTGATCCTGCATTCACTTCCCTCACCATATCCCTTCTTCTGTAATCTGGAGAGTTCTTATGAGTCGCTGGTGACCCTAACCTGCTCCTAGTCTCTGCAGGACTATCCAAGCTACTCCCATCTCCCATGCTTCTCCTTTCATCCCTCGTTCTGATAAACGGCGGTCCACCACCACCACCGCCGCTTCTACTGTTTTGACTGCTTGCCGCGTTAGGATCAAACGTCTGAGAAGCTAAGTAAGTTAGAGCTGTCACCACGTCGCCTATCAGCGGCCTTGTCGCTGCTTGTTCCTGTAAACACATTGCTGCAACCGCCAGCGCTTGGTATAATCCACGCATTGGATACCTCCCTTGCAGTGATGGATCTGCCATCTTTGGAAACTTCCTACGATCTTTAAACAACGGCCTAGCCTGTGTAACCAAACAATGGTCCAAAAACATTAACTATAATGCAAAAGGTTGAGACTTTCTATTTTGGGAATATAAAAGTTGAGATTTTTGAACGTACCCATGCGACGAGGTTGTGCTCTCCGTGTGCTCTAGCGTTATCAATAGCTTTCCGACCAGTGATAAGCTCCAAAAACACAACTCCAAAGCTATACACATCCGACTTCAACGTGAGTTGCCCTGTCATGGCGTATTCAGGTGCACAATAGCCATATGTCCCCATCACACGGGTCGAGACGTGTGTTTTGTCCCCCACGGGACCTAGCTTAGCTAACCCGAAGTCAGATAACTTTGGGTGATAGCCATCGCCGAGAAGAATATTAGATGACTTCAAGTCTCTGTAGATCACAGGTGGGTTTGCCTTGTCGTGCAAATACTCAAGTCCCTTGGCTGCTCCTGCTGCTATTGTCATTCTTGTGTTCCAATCTAGAGGCTCTTTATCCGGTGGGAGATCTGAAACAAACAAACAAATAATAATTCACCACATGCACCGCATAGAACTAAAAACTTTCCTAATATATCACTATACAACGCCGTAGTTTCTATATATAGTAGTTTCGGGTCTTAAGTAATAACAGAGATGGTTTCTTACTAATTTCAAACGTATCGATTGGCTTACCGTGTAGATGATCCTCCAACGACCCTAGTGGCATATACTCGTACACAAGAAGGCGCTGGTCACCATCAGCGCAATAACCAATCAAATTCACAAGATTGGTATGGTGCAAAAGGCTCAGCATAAGAACCTCCACAAGAAACTCTCTGTTTCCTTGTAGACCGTTTCGATCCAGCTGTTTAACAGCTACTATCTGCAAAACATAAAATGAGACAGACTTTGAGTTTAATTATGAGAAAATAAAAGGATGATTGTACTGATTGGTTTTCAAGGAACTTCACCTGTCCTGTAGTCTCTAGACGACCCTTGTAAACACGTCCGAAACCTCCTTCTCCAAGAAGACATTCCGGTCGAAAGTTCTTAGTGGCGGCAGCTAACTCACGGAAGGTAAACGTTTGTGCAGCGATATGAGCGGTTGGCCCTTCTTTTGGAGCGGTTAGCTCTTTCTTTTGTTCAGAACCTCCTCGAGACTTTGATTTATCTACAAATAAACGAAATTATTAGTAACTTACAATTAAAATGACTTCATTTCAGAGTGATGTCTACAAGTACATAACATCCTTTATTTAGAACTCTCTTTATATCTAAAATCTAAAGTTAAAATCTTTATTATTCCTTGTTTGTAGCAACCTTACTGTGGCATCTCTTTATTACATTCCATGTATAGAGAACTAAACATAAACTGCAATTACCATTTACGGAAATCACAATTTGGAACTAAATTGCATATTACAACTATAACCAAAGCTAATAAAACACATCAGATCTCATGGATATAGATTCCACAAACTATGTAGCCTTGAAGCTAAAATGAATTTAGATCAACGTTTATTTCCAACAATCATCACCAAAGGTAGAAACTTTATGAGAACCGAGAAGCTTAAAACCGATCTAAGACACGAAAACACAACAGATCCCGAAGTATGTAATGAAAAAAAAAAATTCGTCACCTAAGCTGACATGGTGAGACTGAGTAACAGAACCGTCTTTAGCTGAAACTTCTTTCTTCACCGAATCTTTTGAAGTAGAGTCTTTAGGAGAAGATCCAAAGCAAGGCAAACACCCACTCATCTCTGAAGCTTTAAGTCCTCGAAATTCAAATAAACAACAAAGATTGCCCCCTACCGACAAAATCAATCAACCAGAGAATCCCAACATGATAAGCTCTCAACAACACATCTCGAGGTTTCTTTAACTGTAAAGAAAAGAAGAAAAGCCTCAGCCTTTTCTTCAATGCATCTCTCTCTCTCTCTTTAACTCGAGATCTTTGGAGAGAGAGGTTGAGAGACCAGCGGCGGATCAACTAATCGAGGAAACTTTTTTTTTTATGTGGGTGCTACGCGAGAAGAGAAGGAAGGGGAAGGTAAGGGAACTATAGAAAAAAAAATAAAAAAGACATGAAATTTTTATTACAAACGATTTGACATTTAATCAATTATCAAAGGGATAATCCTTTTATTAAAGTTATAGATGAAATTAAAGGAACTCATTATCCGTTTAAATGTGAGATTTCCTCTCTACTTAACCTTGTGTATCAATTTATTATAGAGAAACAAAAAAGACATCAAATTTTTTATTGTAAACAATTTGACATTTAATCAATTATCAAAGGGATAATCTTTTTATTAAAGTTAAAGATGAAATTAGAGGGAATCATTATCCGTTTAAATGTGTGAGATTAATGGTAATATAATTTTTAGTCTCCTCTCTGTTTAACCCTTGTGTATTCAAATATAAACAATTTCTTCAAGTTTTTATATTCGAACTGAGACTGAAAATTTGTGTTATGAGGTTAGCTAAATATATAAACACAAAACTAATAAAACATTGTTGATCTGACATTTAATCATTAATAACCACAATGATATAGTGGATATCGTTCAAGTTTATTAAATTGTTTTATTTTGACATAGTTAGGTCTCTTAGAATAATGTATGAAATTTTATATATTACAGTGTGAATTTTTTTGGTCAGAATGCATCATCAAATTTAAATATAAACTAGCTTTTGACCCGCGCACCCGCGCGGATGTATGTTCTGTATAAATATATTATTGTATTAGTTATAAAAAACATTAATATTTATGTTTCATAGTTTATTGAGTTATGATGTCGGTGTAACTTGTTCGTTTTGTTTAGTGTCTCTTTTTTAACTATCAAGTTCTATTTTTTTTATATCATACTTTTTTTACTTGGTAAACTAAAAAACTAATTGTAAAATTTTAGAGTATCTTTTGTATATTGTGTGTGTTTTATTAAATTATACGATAAATTTTGTGATTGAAATTATTATTTAAGATCAGATTTTATAGATATTTCTTTAAAAATAAATTATTTAGATAGCAAGAATTAAAAAAAGATTCACAAAAATAAGAGCTCTAGCAATTTTATTTACAATGATTATGTTCTATATAATCGAGATAAATTTTAGGTTCGGTTATGGTCTTGATATCGTACCTTTTCTTACTTGGTAAACTAAACCATTAAGTGTAAAATATTAGAGTATCTTGTCTAGATTATGTGTGTTTTATTAAATTATACTATAAAACTTTGTGATTGAAATTATTATTTAAAATCTGATTTTATAGATTATTTAGATAGCAATAATTAAATATATTCACAAAGTAAGAACTCTAGCAATTTTATTAACATATGTCATTTTTAAAACTGAATTGGGCAATTTGGTTTTGATTTAAAATTAGTGGACCTTAAATCTATATTGAAGCCCATACAAGAGTAAAACTACAGTATTTTATTACAGTGGCATTCTATTGTAATTTTTGAGGAAAACTAAGGTTTATTTCTTTTTTGTACTTCCCCTTTAATAGTTTAGATTTCCAACTGAAGATAGAGATGATCTAAGGTATATTTTAATTTATTCATTTAGGGAATATTATAACATATTTAGCAAAAGTATTATATGTATATGGCATTTAGCATGTATGCAAATATAGTATACCCATATATATTTGATGTGATTGTTTCATTGTCTTTTGTTTTGTCTTGTTTGGTGCATATGTATACTAGTATTGATTAGAATTGTTAGAGTTCATTGTTTGTGCATGCCTATAGTTTGTTCTCTTTTATGGATTGAGTTTTTCTCTGGAAATTGTTATAGTTTTTATAACTATACGGTTTCCTATTAGTTTAGAATTGCTATAATAATGGTTTTGTTGATTTTATGGTTTATTAATATTGAGATAGTATATAAGCATTATGTTCCTTATATTTGTCAATAATAGAATAAACTAATATTACCATCTTTAGTCTAATTAAATATAGCTTGGGAATTATTTATGAATCTGAACTTATAAAATAGTTATTATATTATATTTTATGTTTATTTGCATTAAACTCTGAAGCATATATAGTTCTGAATTTACAACATAGCTTTTAATATTTTCATTTACTAAAGAAGTAAAAATAATATATGCAAACAGCTGTGCTAACTCAATTTATTAAAGTTTTCTCTAAAGTTAACTAGATCAGTACACTAAATAAACTGATTAAACTAATTATGCTTTTAAACTAAATTAGCGGTGACATGAGAGAAAGAAAGAAGAATTATCATGGTCGGAGAGTAGGTCCCATATGACATATCTAAGGATATGCTTTGAGCAATATTCTCAAGCCCACACCTTCTTCTTTCACTCTCATTCAAAATTCATTTGTAATATGTAGTTTATTTTTAGATACACTTAATAAATCTAAAAAATAATATTTTGTAGCACTAGCTCATAAGTATTGTATTTCCCATAAAAATCAAAACTATTCATGTAGTAATATTAGTATATATGCCCATGAGATTATTTAATGATAATTTACAGTACTCTACAATCTACAACCAAATTCCTGTAGCTTATAGTATCAACATATTGATGGACTATTAATTGATTATTTGTTAGCTTAATCTTCAATGTTGATGTAGAAGAAAACTGAATAAACATTCCATATAATAAAGTATTTATATGTGTAATTGTTTCAAAACAAAAAGCTTATTACATAAATACAGTCACAAAATATATAACTAAAGAACATTTTACTCTTCTTAGAATGTATAATTGCTGTTTTTTTAGTACTCTCGACTCTGGTCAGTATTCCCTCCGTTGTGTTATAGGTGATGTTTGGAACTTTTGTTTTGTCTTAAATTATTTGATGTTTTCATACTTTTACAGAGAATGTAGTCTTTTGATTTTAACTATTCTTATATCAAATTATTTGATGTTTCCAAAACTTTTGTGGAGAAAATATAGACTTTTGATTTTAACTATCTTTGCATTAATAGTTATAATTGAGAGTAAATTGCATGTTATAACAAGGATACATAAGTATAAAATAGACCATTTTATTAGTTTCTTTAATTTGTGTAATCCTCTAAAACATCAACTAAATAAAAAAGGGAGTAGAATTTAGTGTTCAACAACTACTGATTACACATATTAATAATCCCCTATATTATTGACATAAAAATTATAATAGAAATCTTGTCGTCCTTGAAATAAGTCATTTGGTCAAATTATAACGTCTATCAACTTTAACTATGATTATGCGAGTATATTTCTTTTGTTTATTTTAAATTATAAAGTGGGTTTTCTAGAAAAGGAAAAGGTCTAATTTAAAATGCCGGCTTAAAAGAAACATCAAACAAGTTGACTCACAAGTCACATAAGGGCCACATTTATTCATCCAGCTTATTTATGACTGTTCCTCGTCATATAATCTAGTATAACTACTGTACATATCTAAAAATATTAACGTCTAAATGTATATTAGTGGTGCTAGTCAAACCCAACAAATCATACTTTGAAGGTAGAATACATTGAGTCATCGACAAATATTTTAACCAACAAACTTGTCATTTTCGAAAACCGTTTTTAATACTTACATTAAATCACTGACTTATATATTATAGAGTGAATAGTTCATAATTTGATAATACTTATAGTAAGAAAATGTTGAACCATATATCACTACGTTCACACTTTATTGGATGAATTCCCCTTTAACTATATATTTCCTTCGGTTAACGGCTTCATATGCAATGCAAATTTCATATTCCCTTTTCAGTTTAGTTTGGTCCATGAAACTCTGTTCTTTTCGGAGTCAACAGCTGTATTTTTGTGTGAAAAATCTATATATTAGAATGAAATATCCATGAATCTCGGTTGAGGTGCCCGTCACCCGACTTCGAACCCCGGCCACCACATAATTAACATGCGGAGTTGGTGTGGCGCCCCAGACCACTTGGCGTAACCAGGGGTCCTTAAGTGAACGCTTAAAAATTCTATCATGGCATGGGCTTAGGCCCGGTGGGCTAGTCGATCACGCTTTGTGGTCGAATACTGGGTTAAAAAAAAAAAAAAAAATGTGAACATGTTATATTGTAGGAGTATGTGTCAATGCTTCGTATAAAATATTTGCATGTGCCAATCTTCACGACGAATACGTAATCTATAATTAACATGAAATTATATAAATTTATTATTTGAAAATAAAATAATTACTTACCAACATGCCTGCGGACCGGATTCACGAAAATATTGCTAAGCAGCGTGGGGAATAGGGAATAATCATCATTCAGCTGCTTCTTAGCACATAATTTTCTCCATGTTTTACTGTTGAGATGGAAGGACACGTGGCTGTTTAACAGCTAATAAGAGTTTCTTAACAGACAATGCACATGAGCGTTGTGGATAATTGCCTCCATTGTCGGAAAAACATTATGGACTTGTTACGTGATCAAAAGGACGGCTCGTTTTGTAAACGGACCACCGTCGATCCTCTCATCACATGACACGTGGAATAAGTTAGTGTAGTCAATGATTGTTAAGCAAACTCGTTAACGTGTGCTTAAATTTTACATAGACACAAAAACTTTCAGTTCATCACTAGTATAACACAGATTCGGTGGTTGGACTTGTAAATTTTCCTTTTGCTCAAATTAATGGATTACTGTTATATGCTAGCTACGCTAACGTATAAAACTAATATCTGATTATAGATTAAGCAACATTAATTAATATAAGTATCTGTCGACAGAGCTAATTATCTTGTTCTTTTTCTTGAAAGAAC